AAGGAAAGGTACAATGCTAAAAAGTATTTTTCGGCAACATCTAACTCAAATATATACCGTTACAGGTATACACAGATGGCAGTTTCAGGATACAAACAAGTAAGAGTGACTTTGCACTTCTAGGAGTCTTTGCTCAAAAGTTTCAAAAACCGTCACAGAACCTGGTTCCTGTGACTCAGGTTAGTAGTCTCTTCAATACTTATATGCCCTTTTAAGCTGCTGAAGTGTCATGTCATTAATTTGTTTCTGCCTTTCTCCTGCCTCTCCTCCTAACTTTTGAAGTCCAAAATGTTAGACCTTTTCTGAACTGACCCGTTGCCCCAAAAAAGGCACTTCTCTATCTTACACCCAAATAAAACCGATTCTTTTCTTCAAAACCAAAATCAGCCTTGTCTCAAAATAATCCTTCCTTCCAAATATGCCAGAAGTGAACCCAACTCTCTCACTTTCCAAAAACCTAACTCCATCAGAATCAAAACCCCAAGAATTCTTTGGTAGTTTTTTGATGGAAGTTTAACTGAAAGGGAACAGGGTAGATCTAATATTCTAGAGCGTGAGGCTGAAATTGTTGTTGGGTTTGTAGATGCCTTGAAGGATGGGGGAATTGGTGAATGTGCTGAAAAAAAGGGGAACTGAATGAGGGACTCGGTCCCTAAAATCCTTCTTAGGATGATAATTCTAATGATGATCTTTCTCTCTTGAGTTCTATGCATAAACGAACTTCCGATCCAGTAAAAAGGTTTGAGAAAAGCAGGTTGATTGATGATGAAGTGGTGTAACCTGCTGATGTAATGATTGTGGAAGAGAGGATGAAGTGGAAAAATCTCCATTTGTGAGAAAGAATTAAAAAAAATAATGGAGAAAAGAAATTTGGCTGAGAAAGATGCAGCAGATGATAAGGGTAAACAGATTGAGAAGAAGAAGAGGGAGACATGTCTGCTCAGGGATAGAAAGGGTAGTGTAAGTGAGGAACCTGGTTCCTTACAGAAGCAAAAGGTTGAGCCATTAGGTTTGGAGGGAGAAGACGTTGAAGTCTCAAAAGGTGCTGTAAGGCAGAGTGTTGACTCTGATATTGCTGAAAAATGGAGGAACTTCTCGACATTGTTGAGTTCCAAAAATTGGAATCACCTCTTTGTGCCTACAAGTCCCAATGTTTCTGAAGAAGAAGTAAAAACTTCTATGTTTTATGTGATACTATGATGCTATATGTGCATGGGACTGAGTCTGTTCTTGATGAGACGAAGCTTGGGGAGATTCTTGGTGATCTGATTGATGGCTCAACATACTCAGATAGGTTGAGAACCTGGTCCTCGAGGACCCTTGGCAGAATAGAATGCTAAGTTGAAGGGTGAGAATGAAAGATTAAGGAAACAGGTGGAGGAACTGAGAGAGCAGATGATCATTGATCAAAGGAGAATAAATGAACGAATGGACAAGCTCATCAAGGCCTTAGCCCCTTACTTTTCCTCCTGCCCAGTGATCCATGTCTTTCACTCCTTCCAAATTCCCTTGAATTCTTATCTTCTTTTGATCCCTACATTTGATGACATTGGTACTTCAGTTCTTTAAATTTTCATATTATGTGTTGTTGAAACTACTGTGCTTTTATTGTAATTACTCCACTATGGGCAATCACTCTATTTTGTGCACTGACATTCATTTGTTGTTCTTGTTATTGTTCATGCTGTGTTGCCCAAGTGGCCTGAGTTAATGTTGCTGAACTTCTTTTTAGTTGTGCTTCTTCTGTTATTCTTTTCTATGATGTCAAAAGGGGGAAGTTATATAGGTGTCAACATGGGGGAGGAATAGAAATTGATATGTTGTGTTGTGCATGAAAGATGGCTCTGCTTCGCAGGGGGAACGTGCTGATAATATGTTGATTCTAGGTATGATCCGCAACGGAAACATGTGAGGAATCTGGTTCTCAAGAGGAATATTAATTTTGAGTTTGTCATCATCAAAAAGGGGGAAATTGCTCTAAGTTACACTATGTCATGTTTTGATGATGACAAACGTTCTCAATGTACTGGGTACGGACCAGATGTGATCAGTGCAGATAAGGAACCTGATTCTCAGGGGGAATAATTATGGGTTTTTCATTCATCAAAAAGGGGGAAATTGATAAGTTATGGAACTTTGAGTTTTGATGATTTGCTAAACAGTCTTGAGGAACCAGCTGTGATCAGCTCCTTAGGTTCGGTTCTCATGGGGAATATGGCTGATTCGTAAGGGGAACAATACGAAGATCTGGTTCTCAGGGGGAATATCTATTCTAAGTTTGTCGTCATCAAAAAGGGGGAAATTGATAGGTTACAAGTACCTTGGGCACAAGTACTTTACTTTATGTTTTGATGATCTAACAAACTTACCATCCAGAACAAGATAAGGAACCTGTTACACATTTACAAGACCTTGAGATCACAAAGTTCCAGGTTGGGATCCAGTTGGATATAACTCAACTCTTCAGAGTGGAAGGAACAGCTGAGGTAACAGGTCCCTACCAGTTCCCGAGGAGACTGTATGAAGTTAACTCTCCAGCAGGAAAGTCGCTGCCTGCACACGCTACTGCACAGGAACAGCGCAACAGTCAACTTTCTGTGGAAGGCTCTTTACCTACCTTGCTTACATCATTGTAAGTGATGTCACTCACGTATAAATACAATCAAGGAAGGTAAAACAACTTCTTCATGAGAGAACCAGATAAAGGACTTGAAGCATGCCTGGTACAATCATTCAAGTTAATCGACTCAAGATAATCTGGGCAGTGTGCTTTAGATTCACAGGAACCAGATTAGGGACCTGATCCCTTGGTGTTCCCCTGACAGAAGTATAGGTCATCTGTACAGCTGGAAAGCAATTGCAGAAAGTGACTGCCTGCAACAGTGCAGCAGACAGTGCAGCAGTCACTTCCCATAGAGAAGAGGCATGTACTAACCAAGATTTGACATCACTAAGGTGATGTCTTTTGTAGTATAAACCTTATGCAAGGCACAGAGTTCAAGTTCAGCTGCAAATCAGAACGAAAATACTCTCTCAAGTGCTTGCCACAACCTCTCTCAAGAACAAAGTTGCTGCAACCTCAAGGACCTGATCCAAGATCGAAGATATCTTAAGTCCTTAGGTTTGTTGAGTCTTTGTTATTTGTTCTTCATTGTAACTCCTATCTTGCTTTCTTAGAAGTTGTCTTTTAGGAAACCCAAAATCCGTAAACTCTACAGTTTATGTTGTGACTAGGTTTAGTCATAAGTTAAAGTCTTTGTAATAGAGTTATTACAAAGTGGCTTGTAATAGTGTTGTTACAAGTTAGTTGAGTTTAAAGTCTTTGTTACTAGGAAGTGACAAGTGGCTTGTGGTGAGAGTATCACAAGTTAGTTAAAGTCTTTGTAACTAGAGAGTCATAAAGTGGCTTGTGGTGAGAGTACCACAAGTTAGTTGAGTTGAATCCTTTGTAATAGAGTCATTACAAAGTGGCTTGTAATAGGTGTTTACAAGTTAGTGAAGTTGAAAGCCTACAAGTGTAGGTCGTGGTTTTTTGATCCCCTTGTGTGGGATTTTTCCACGTAAAAATCCTCTGTGTTCTTTACTTATTGCCGAGCTACTGTGGAACAATTAGAGAACCTGATTCCCTATACTGGTTGGTTTTACAGTCTGTTGCTTACAGTGGGAGCTTATAGAGAATCTGGTTCTCTATACAGTTGGAACTTATCATGTGTCTCATTTACATATTGGTTCAGTAGTTAGCACTGTGGGAACTGATATAGGACCAGATCGCTATACAGTTTGGTTCATCAGTATCTTCAGTGGAAACTCATAGAGAACCTGGTTCTCTATACAGTCTGGTGGATGCTTAGTTTCTAACATTACTATAAAAAAAATTATAAATGTTATAAAACAATAAAAGAAAAGAGAGTATTGCTGAGAAAACATTTTTAGTGATTTTATCGTTCTTCCAAATAAAAGCCATTTTTACTGATTTTACCGTTCTTTAAAAGAAAGTTACAATGATTTTTTACTTAGTTGTCCGATTAACTCCATTATCAAGGTAAAAACAAATGAAACAAAACGATAAGATGATTTCTCAAGCTATTATAAAGGTGTATAAGATTCTCTCAGGCTTTTCCAAAAACCTTCCCAAAGTCAAAAATGTTTTTTTTTTTAATATTTAAACAGAGTTTTTTTTTTTTCAAAAACCAAACGTAAGTATATGTTTCTCTTCTTTTTGACATAATAAATAAATAAAAATTGGATGCATAATTGGTTGGATTCGTCTGTATTGATGTTGACATCAACCTTCCATTATATGAAGTTGATGGAAAATATAGTACTTGCTCCGTTCTGTTTTACTTGTTAGTTTACAGAAAAAAAAATTTGTTCCAATATATTTGTTGTTTTAGAAAAGAAAAAAAAAAGAATTAAATCTTTCTTTCCAAATTTACTTTAACTTTAATACATGTGTGGAGAAATTAATTTGGTGAATGCAAGAATTAATAATAAATTAAAATAAGAACATAAGTAAGAATAATGTAATCAAATTATTTTCAATTAATGTTTTTTACTGGGTGTGCCATATGTTATACAATCAGACCTTTCTATAACACCATATATTTTCTATTACGGCACTTCATTATAATGGCCAAGTTTTTTTTTGAACTAAATTTTCATGTTTTATTACAATATATATTCTCTATATCAAAATATTTCGGCGATGTTATAAAGAAGTTTGACTGTATTACAAAATAGAAAAATAAAAAGGTTTTAACACTAGAATTTAATTCCCACTCCTCCTTTCCTTCCCATTCCCCAAATGGAAAAAAAATAAAATTACTCATATTAGATTTTTTTTTACCTTACATTATTTAGGTGTAAACTTCCCGTTCAACTAAAAATTCTCCTTTTTTTCTACCTCTCAACTCCCAATTATTTACGGACCCACTCTCACTCCAAAATAAATTAAAACAATTTCTTTTTCTTAAAAAACTCCATCCTTATATATAGACCATACATACTATAATACCTCCCAAAGAAGAACTCTTCTCTTTTCTTTTTCTCTTTGTAACTATGGCTTCACAAGCCGCTCTTCTCCTCCAAAAACAACTCAAAGACCTAAACCGGCATCCGGTCGACGGTTTCTCCGCCGGTTTAGTCGACGAAAACAACGTATTCGAGTGGAGCATTACAATTATCGGTCCACCCGAAACCCTATTTGACGGCGGTTTTTTCAACGCTATAATGATTTTTCCTCCGGATTATCCAAATAACCCACCGGAAGTTAAATTCACGACTGAAATCTGGCATCCTAACGTATACTCTGACGGTCGGGTTTGTATATCGATTCTTCACCCGCCCGGTGATGATCCGAATTTTTATGAACTTGCTAGTGAACGTTGGACGCCGGTTCATACGGTTGAGAGTATAATGTTGAGTATTATATCGATGCTTTCGAGTCCGAACGATGAATCTCCGGCGAATGTTGATGCGGCTAAGGAATGGAGAGATAATAGGGATGAATTTGTGAAGAAAGTTAAACGTTGTGTTAGGAGATCACAAGAGATGTTATGAGGTAACTTGTTTTGCAAGGAAAAGGAAAATAAAAAAAAAAAAAAAAAAAAAAAAAAAAAAAAAGAGAGAAAAACTAATTTAAATTATTTTTTTTGTTTTTGTTTTTGTTTGTTTTAGAAGTATTATATATTTGGTATTAAGATTTTATTTTAGAGAGGAAAATTCAAACTTATGGGGTCATGAATTTATTTGGAGAAAGGTTTGATTCCTTTTCTCCCTAATTTTGTTGAAAATTTGGACAAAATTGGATGAATTATGGTTTCGTTTACTAGATAGATTAAAAATACTGTTGAAGTAAATTTTTATTTTAACCAGTTTAATGGTTATTTTTTTTTTTTGTTTTGCTTGGTCCTATTGTCATCTCGGTGTATAAAGTATTTTGTGTTCACCTAGAGTCCGGAGAAAACTACACCAAAAAATGTGTGACGTAAGACAACCTAACCTAATGACACATATAATTCTAGTGACAAATTAGTACAACTTCTACGTGATATTGTTCTAAAAAGTACCATTAGATGGAAACGAGCCCTTGTCGGAATCTTTACACAAATAGCTTATACAATGGTTATACACGATTATACACATATACATTAATTATAAATATATTATATATACTAGAAACTGTTGGGTGAATAGTTATTTACGTACATTAATTCTTCTAGCTCCTTCGTTCCTCCTTCTCATAGTTGCATGCGCTTGCGTTCTCTTTACTAGCTTTTCATTTATCTTTTTGCAGTAATAGTTCAGTATGTGTAACATTATTATGCCTCAATTGTAGAAGTTTATCACTTGAAACCATTCATCCAATTTCAATCAACACGTTAGACATAATAAATTATATTTAGAAGCAAAATAGCACGGGCTAGTCAGTTTTTGAATGATTAATTGAAAAATAGCCAACGTTTGCAAAGTTATTGAAAAATAGCCACTATTTAATATACTGGAGATTGGTGCACCTGTGTATGAACTTCCAGCGATTTATCTTTACATGAAAAGTGAATAAGTTTCGATTACTTTTGAAACAATGGCTATTTTTCAATTACCACTTGTAAATTTGGCTATTTTTGAATTTCTTATTTAGAACCATCAAAATAGGCTTCGCCCATTAGGTTAGTCCAACACAATCCACTGCTTGGATAGGGTTGGGCTAAGATTTTTCTAACCCATTAAAAAGTAAGGTTTATAGGCCCGACCCAAGTTAGCTTGCCGATCCTGGAGGCTTGATCGAGATTGGGGCCGGGCAGGCCCGTGGGCCAAAGAAATTCATTCGAATTTAAAATTTAAAAAAATCAGAAAGAGTCAAAGAAAAAGTTCTTGCTCACATATAACACTTAACCAATGAGTCTTTTGAGTTGAATCGCTGGGATATTGTTTCTACTCGAAACATTATTTAGCTCGTAGCTGAAATTACTTACTGTGTTTTTGTACAGTCTCAAAAGTTTGTTGAAGCAAAAAAAATTATTTCAACAAAATAGATGATTTCAGTTCCTATTGGCTTATTGGGAATCTTTCAGTTTATTTTTTTTTCCTATTAGCGATATATTATATGTATATGATTATTGGGTAGGTATATTGTGTTTTGCATGTGTCCATGGTTTGGGTTAAAATTTCCTTTTGTGAAGTATCTTTTACTTTATTTCAATTATTGATTGTGAATTTCTTAGAATTTAGTTGATCACTTCAAAGTTTTATTAACAACTTAACTTTTCTGTTTGTAAATAAAGTCGACTTTCTTGAATATTATGAAGCTTTATGTAATATTGTCATATTATCATATAAAATTTTATGCCTTTGCAAATTTCACCTACTTACACATCTTCATATGCTAAAATGTTTGAATTTAAAGCTCGAATTGAGATTGAAAAAAATTTCTTTCAAAAAGAAAAGAAAAGAAAGGAAGATTGAAAAAGATGAGGCCTAGGTTGGGCTGGCTATTGAAGGCCCTTTCAAAAGTGAAGCCAATTCGCCCTAACCCATCAAATTTCATGGTCCGTGCAACATGTTATACTGAATTGAGATAACTCTAAATAGTACGGGCTAGCCAGCTTTCGGACTGATCATTCAAAAATAGCCAGCGTTTGCACTAGTCATTAAAAAATAGCCACTATTTTGCTGCAACAAGGACCGGTCCAGCATAATATACTGGAGATCGGTGCACCTGTGTATGAACTTCCAGCATATTATGCTGGAACTCCAACACGCGGAAAGTTCCAGCATAATATACTGGACATTGGAGCACCTGTGTATGAATTTCCAGCATATTATACTGGACCGGTATGTTATACTGGAACTCCAGTATATTATGCTGGAGTTCCAGTATACTTATGCTGGAACTCCAGTATATTATGCTGGAGTATTTTCCGGATTTTAAACAGTGTTTTCGTTCAGATTTATCTTTACATGAAAAGTGGCTAAATTTCGATTACTTTTGAAACTGTGGCTATTTCTGAATGACCATTTGTAAATCTGGCTATTTTTGAATTACTCCCAATTTTGACACCTCTAATATTTAAATTGAATCGGTCTAACTCAACGTTATAACTTAATTTGTTATTATTTTCATATTTTATTACAAAAAATAGTTTTCTTAGAGAGAGAAAGTGTGTGGAATTATAGAGGTAAAATAAAATAAAATAAAATAAACTTTTGGTTAAGTAAGTTACATGCCTTTTCTTTTACTTCTTTTTTCCTTTCTCATTATACAACTTAGACAAATTACAATATAGTACATATATATGGAAGAATAGTTGGGTCCGAGCTATTGGAATAGAGAAACTCTTGATAGGAAGTATTTTTTTCTTTTAATGAATCTTACACGACATAATATATAATTTATTCGAGTAGTGTGTCCCAGAAATAAGATGATTAAACCAATAAAAAGAAAACAAAAACTTGAAGGATAGAGATGAATAGGTAAAAAAAAAAAAAGTAGACTTTTAAATTATACGGAAAAGGGTCTGATCTGTCCTTCTACTATGATAAATTATTTAAAGTTGTCCCCCGTTATACTATTGGACCATAAAACTCGCTGTCAACTTACTATCCTAACAAATGTATCCTTAAGGGACACGTGACACCCATCCGTGTCTTTTTTACATTTGGTATCATATTTAATCGACCCGCTCCACGATACCCCATATCCCTAACCCGTAACCCGTAATTTATAACACAAAACAAACCCCAACCCTAAGTTGTCAAAAATAAATGTCGCTTTAGGAAATCAAGATATCATTAATTTTTTAATTAAAATCTATCGTAGCTCCAAATGACACTTACGATTTGTGCTATTAAATGATTTTCTTAATTGTTGCCAAAACCTTAAACTGTATTTAAAGAAATACTAGACGGAGTGCAAGTTTCAATTTTTTGACCAACTTCGTAACGATATATCTATAAAAACGGCAGCCCGGTACACAAGACATTTCGCGTTCACACAGGGTTTGGGGAAGGGCCATATCCCAAGGCGTGTGATGTAGCTGCTTCCACGGCTCAAACTCGTGACCTATAAGTCATACAGAGACAATTTTACAGTTGCTCCAAGGCTCCTCTTCTTACTATATATCTATCTACATTGCTATATCGTTAGAGCTACATTATAATGTGTTTTAGCATTCTTAAGGACAAGAATGTACTTAATTATATACTTAATCATAACCTAACTTACAAACATTTTATTTTCCTACTATTGTGATTATGGAATGACATAGTCCAAGGTAAAGTGGAGGCGAAGAAGGTAGCGTACGCGAAGTTGGAAGGAGGCAAAGCTGGCGGTCACGGAGGCTAAGAATGCAGCATTTAGCCGTCTATACGAGGAATTAGGGGAGAAAGGCGGGGACAGGAAGTTGTTTCGGCTGGCTAAAGCGAGGGAGAGGAAGGCCCGGGATCTGGACCAAGTAAGGTGCATTAAAGACGAGGATGGTAGAGTATTGATGGGAGAGTCCCAGATTAAGCAGAGATGGCAGACGTACTTTTATGGTCTTCTAAATGAGGAGGGGGACCAGGATATAGCGCTAGGGGACTTGGGGCATTCGGAGAGTCTCGAGATTTTAGGTATTGCAGGCGCATTAAGGTGGAGGAGGTCGTGGGGGCTTTGCGTAAGATGAGTAGGGGTAGAGCGACCGGGCCAGATAAAATTCCGGTTGAGTTTTGGAAGTGAGTGGGTAGAGCAGGATTGGAATGGCTGACTGGGTTGTTCAATGTAATTTTTAGGACGAAGAAGATGCCGGAGGAATGGAGGTTGAGTACAGTTGTACAAGAACAAAGGTGATATCCAGTGTTGTAACAATTATAGGGGTATCAAGTTACTTAGCCATACCATGAAAGTCTGGGAGAGGGTGGTGGAGGTGAGGGTGAGGAAGACGACGTTTATATCCGACAATCAGTTTGGGTTTATGCCGGGCCGCTCCAATACGGAAGCTATCCACCTTATTAAGAGGTTGGTGGAACAGTATAGGGATAAGAAGAAGGATCTGCACATGGTGTTTATTGACTTGGAGAAAGCGTATGACAAGGTTCTTAGGGAGGTGCTCTGGAGATGTCTTGAGGCGAAGGGCGTGTCGGTAGCCTACATAAGAGCGATCAAGGACATGTGTGATGGAGCTAAGACTAAGGTTAGGACTGTGGGAGGCGACTCGGAGCATTTCCCGGTTGTTATGGGATTACACCAAGGCTCTGCGCTTAGCCCGTTCTTATTTGCCTTGGTGATGGATGCTTTGACACACCATATTCAAGGGGAGGTGTCATGGTGTATGTTATTTGCTGATGACATAGTTCTAATTGACGAGACGAGGGCCGGTGTTAACGAGAGATTGGAGGTTTGGAGACAGACTCTCGAGTCTAAGGGTTTCAAATTAAGCAGGTCTAAGACAGAGTACCTGGAGTGCAAGTTTAGCGCTGAGTCGAGGGAAGTAGGCGGGGACGTGAGGCTTGGGTCACAGGTCATCCCCAAGAGAGATAGCTTCAAGTACCTTGGGTCGATGATTCAGGGGAACGGAGAGATCGACGAGGACGTCACTCACCGCATAGGGGCGGGCTGGATGTAATGGAGGCTTGCATCTGGAGTCTTGTGTGACAAGAAAGTGCCACCGATACTCAAAGGTAAGTTTTATAGAGCTGTGGTTAGACCGGCCATGTTGTATGGGACAGAGTGTTGGCCGGTTAAGAACTCCCATATCCAGAGGATGTGACATCAGTTATTATGATTTTTCTGTAAGTTAGTGAAAGTTTGATGATTATTGTGTGAGAAAATAAAGTTATATTACTTTGATGAAAAAGAGTCATAATCATATGACCATTTGTGAAATTTCCTCCTACTATTGATTAACAATTCTTTCTAGAACTAGCACATGCTATATGCTTATCTAAAGAGAAAAGTTCGCTTTTAAGGTCAAAAGGTAAAAGTATTATTCATGGGGCAAGCAAGGGACACACTTGTTAAACTTGAAATTTTGCCCATAGGACAAACGAAGATAAAAATTCAAAACCATCCACTTTAAGGACTATTTTGTGTACTTCAGCCTCTATTTTGCTCTTCAAGCAGCCACTTTCCTACTTTGAAATCTAGCCACATTGTACTTCTTCCATCTCAAATAGAATGACGGGAGTGAAATATTGGAATTCTGGTGATCATCGGCATTTTCAGCCATAATGCAAAAAGTTCTGTTGATCGATTATAATTTTTTTGCTAATTGTACAAATTTATGGCAAATACCAGAATTTTGTGACGATCAGCATAACTTACAAATTTATGGCCACCATCAAAATTCTAGTGATCGATCAGACTAGAATTTTGTGGTCAATTGCACAAAAATATGAAAACCTTTAGAATTTCATGACGATCATCATAACTTGCAAAATTATTATACAGTCAAAATTTTGGGGATCGGTCAAAATTTTATGACCAACTATAAAAAAAATATAGTAACTATCAAAATTTGTGACGATCACCATAACTTGTAAAATTATAACAACAGTGAGATTTTGAATCACCATAAGACTTGCACAAAAACTTTCAACCAACGTGTTTCAAAATTCTGTTCGGAGACTATTTTCTCAAGACTTTTCTTACGGGGATCAAAATTTAAATGGTGGCACCAATTAATCATATTTGTATCATTCCAGGGGACCTAAAAAAGCCCATCACATTCTAGTGGATAAGTGCACAAATAACCGTATTTAGGACCACTTTATAGAAAGTAGCCAAAGCTTTGGTGATATTTATTTTATATGTTAAACCTTAATATTATTCTTGAAAAAGATTGTAGTAAAACTTAAGACAGGATAAAAATGGAAAAATGACACTGTATAGCCGCTTTCAAAATAATAACGGAAAAAATGTATATTTTTTTGTATATAGATACATTATATGTATATTATATACAAAAATTATAATAATTTTATACACCTTTTTGGCTACTAAATGTAAAAAGTTTTTAGCGTGGGCTAAAAGTGAAAAAACCGGACAAAAATTTGGAACAGCAAAGTGGTAGAAGCCTTTATTTTGTTGGACTCCAAAGTACAAAAAGAGACTCTAGGCCTAATAAAACATACCAACAAACATATAAAACAAACTTTCAAAGCTAGAAATTACATAACACACCAAACAACAAAACCTAAACGAAAGGTAAAAAAAGTTTGTGAGTAAGAGTTGATTCTAAAGCAGTATAAACAGCACGCCATCCTGCTTCTGTAGGGTGAACTCTGTCCCAGAAAAATGCAGATTTTGGATCATTACACACTGTGTACATCTTCTCACCTTTCTCATTCATACTTCCACATGAATATTGATTGCTTATTCCCATACAACATGGTTTCAATGGTGTCTCAAACCTTGTACTTCCTGCTAAAAATGTACTGAGTTTATAAGTATGGAGTCGTTTGGTTGGGTATATAAGAATAATACTGAATAGGGTGTATTAGAAATGTTGTGATTAATTCTTATCGACATTTTGCTTTGGTATATTAATTAAAAGTTTTGAAAGGCCAGTTCTGTCTTTATATATGCTTATCCATGTGTTAAAACTCTATTGCTACTGTAAATATTACTGAATAGGTGCCTACTAAATATGGCATATTGTTTGACTCAAAAGTTATTGCATACCTTATGAATATAAAACAATATAAATAAATCACGGGAAAATCATAGCAAACCGTAATAATCCGTTGGACCAAATGAAGGAAACGAAAATCAGTACTCAGGATTAGGGGGAGAAACATTAGAAGCCTTTATTGATAATATTGGTTTGGTCTGCCTCTCCATGAAGAGGTTCAGAGCCTTACAATGGTGTTCCTTTTGCCCATAATTTGGGTATCGTTGTCTCTTTTTTCTCTCTCAATCGTGGCCCAGAAGAAGCCCCCCTTTCTAGGGTTTCCTCTCTTGGTATTTATAGCTGTGAGCTTCGTGAGCTGGCAATAAGTGATCGTGACCACGTTGGGANATGGCTCTGCAAAATTGAGGGGTAGCAATAGCACGAAAAATTTCACCACTTAATGGTTTGAAAATTGAAAGGGGTGAATTTGTTTGGTCCAAACAAAATCTTATTTTTTTAAATTAAATAAATTTTGTTTATGCATAAAGAATTTAAAATCAATTGAATAATATTAACACTTGTTGAATTCACGCCTTTAAATTCTTAGCACACACGTTGCATGTATCAAGTACATTATTGGAAAGTACTGGACACTATATTACCGGAGGATCCCATCCCATCAAGTAATGCATTTAAAAAAAATAGTGATGGTTGAATAGGAAGTGGGGTCCCCATTGCAAGTAGGAAACCTCCGGAATACCACCCGAACCGACTAACAACCAAGTGAACAAGAATTCGTTGGTGTAAGCGCCCCAATAAGATATCAAAATTTAGACCAAAAGATTGTAGTAATAAAGAAGCGAAGCCAAGAACACCAAAAAAAATGAGAAGGGAAAAGACCCTTCCTCGAAGACGAGGAGATAAGGGACAAAGGATATTCATGGAAGAATTCAATAGCTTAGGCCATGTTACTTTTGATTTTATTTTTCCAGTCATTAAGAATCCACATCAAGCTTTTTAGCCTATTGTACAACCAGACAATGCAGTTAAATTTTTGAAATGACTATGATGCCTGTTTGACTCAAAAGTTATTGCATACCTTATGAGTATAAAACAATATAAATAAATCACGGGAAAATCATAGCAAACCGTAATAATCCGTTGGACCAAATGAAGGAAACGAAAATCAGTACTCAGGATTAGGGGAAGAAACATTAGAAGCCTTTATTGATAATATTGGTTTGGTCCGCCTCTCCATGAAGAGGTTCAGAGCCTTACAATGGTGTTCCTTTTGCCCATAATTTGGGTATCGTTGTCTCTTTTTTCTCTCTCAATCGTGGCCCAGAAGAAGCCCCCCTTTCTAGGGTTTCCTCTCTTGGTATTTATAGCTGTGAGCTTCGTGAGCTGGCAATAAGTGATCGTGACCACGTTGGGATTTCGCCTTCATAGTGGCGGATAGGCCATGGCCTTGCTGATCTAACCAGATGCGGGTTGAATATCGTTAATTCTGAGTGGTCGTGCCACTAATTAATCATGAATTAGCTTAAGACGGGATTAGCCTCGTTAATTATCGTGGGGTCGGATTCTGACCCATACAGTTAGTCCCTCCGCTTATTGAGGTCGGGCCTTGGCCGAGCTCGATGAGTGGATTCCAGTGACTGTAGTTTGAGAAACTCGGATGGGGAGGTCGACTGTTGCTTCGGTCGAGGCCGAATTCTTTTTGGCGATGGCCCTTAGCCTTGTATAGTATTAGTATCCTGTTATTGGGCTATCAAGTCATCGTTTGATCGAGGTCGAACTCTCCTCCTGGGCGAAGGCGCTTGACCTTTTAACTTACTTCGAGTGAGGTCGAGCTGCATTGTGCTCTGATCCTTACGTTTGTTTTGGGTGCATACCCGTCGACCATGGCGGACGGGTCATATGTTGTGCGGCCGAGGGGAGTGAGGGAACGCTTGATACGTGCTTGGCGGTGTCAAAAAATTTCTAGGGCGCAAGGAGCATCTTCTCGGCATTCATAGGTCGTTATAACCATTTCGAGGGCGAGAAGCCGATGGGTGATTGCAAGGTTGCTTTATGGAGCCTGTCATAATAACGCACATTCCTATGGAGTCGAACCGGTGTGCGGTTGGTCATGTAGTTAATGGTGGCTGTTGGGGTGCATGAAGGCCACTTGTGTTGCCTATAAATAAAGGCTGAGGCATTCATTTTTTATATTCTCATTGTTTGTCTGAGAGAGATTCTGAAGAAGCTTTTCTTACTGCTGTTTCACCTTCGTCTTCGTCCCCCAAACTTTGTTTCTTTCTCGTTATTGTATCAACAATGGCAGGCATTTCTTCCAAAACGTTCTTCCGACGGATTTTCCAGTTAACTCACCGGTGACCGAGGGGCCATTTCCGGCAATGGGCGATGCAGAACTGGTGGAGACCGGTGAAGCTCTATCGGTTGACGAGATAGTACCTCTGCCCGGAGTTCCGATGACTGATTTCACCGCCGATGGTGGGGAGGATCAGGTGGATGAAGCCCCATTAATGGGGGAGATTGGGATGTCTCGACTGCGGGGACAGGGGTCATCCCCGGCTATGCTGACGTCATTCTCGCCAGAAGCGAGGAGAGGGTCCACACCGACCGTAGGGGATACTGCGTCTTTTACGCCTACCCCTTCAAGTTGGGGTTTAAGCTCCCGCTCCCAATGCTGGTGGTTGATTTCTGTCGTTATTACGGGGTATGCCCGGGTCAGCTTACTCTTTCTCTTTACAAATTGTTAGCAATGCTCATCAAATACGCAGAATTGGCTGGTAGGGAGATCACGCTGCAGCATGTGCTTAGCCTCTACGCTCCCTAGAGGGTTCGTGGTACCATGATTCGAGCGTGCCCTCGCGGGACGAGGGGCCTGACTGCGAAGCTGGATGATGAGGTTGAACCTCGCCCTTTCGAGCACTTCTTCTACATCAGGACTGAACATTTAGTGGCGTGCTCTACTGGATTCCCAGAGGCTTGGAATCATGCACGTAAGTTCCTTAGCCATTGAATCCTTTTTTTTTCTACCCCTCCTTACGTCTTGTGCTCGTAAGCGTTAACTCGTGTCAATTTTGTAGCTGAAAAATCGCCGCCGGCTCCGTTAGCTGGGATTCGCGGATGGGTCGAGGCCGTGCTCCCCCATACGGCGGGGATACACACATGGGCGTCTTTCTAGGAGAGGCATGGCCGTAGACCTGTGGCAGATAAGAAAAATTGACTTCTTCTTCTGTTCCGCTTTGTTTCAACACTATTCCTCAACTTTGTTTTTCTGTGATCAAGGAGGGCACGCCGCGTCAAGGCCCCTCAGTTGGCCTTCCGTCGACCGGGTGCAGTCGCTCGACTTACTGCGGCGCCTGTGTCGCGCTCAATACCGAGGGCGGCATTAGTTAAATCTTCAGCGGTTCCTTCTCCAGCACGGGCCGCGCTTCGGGATAAGGGGCCATCAGGGGTTGTGCGCCCTAGGGCGGAATCATCATCAGACGGGGAGGAGGAGAGGCCCTTGATAAGGCGTAGGGTTGTGTTCACGCCGGCTCCTCCAGTGGTAATCAATCTGGACTCCCCTCCGACGGATGCGGAGAGGGGTGCGGTCGCGGCGCCCGCTCTTGAGGGCGAACAGTCAATGGGGGTTGCCCTGGCTGGCTTAGGCCATAAGGGTGCCGTCGCTTCGGCGACTCAGTCGGTGGTTCCAGTCGCTGAGACGGGAGGTAGTTCCTCAGCGGCTGGTAATATTGGTGAGTTAAGCACCCCTTTGGCGGCTGCGGCGGGAGATTCCACCTCGCCGGCGGCTGAAGGAGGAAGAGATGCTGTAGAGGGTGAGTACGAGTCTGAATCCGACTTGGACCCCGACGATATCCGTATGTTCCAGGAAGGCTCCACCAATTCAGCGGTGCGCGCAGAGGGGCGATCTCGCTTTATCGAGGTTCCCACGGAGTTGAACTTATTGCTCCAAGGGGAAAGCCCGCAGTTCGAGCTGCTATGCTCGGAGGCCGAGAATGCATCGTTGAGGAGCGTTACGGATGTCGGACTGATGAATGAAGTAGCCGTGATGGGCTTGAGGGTATATACTATTACGTCGGTTCGCTTCTTCTTTGCCTTAGTTTGTTCTTAATCCTAATCGTTGTCTTTGCTTTGCAGTCTTATTTGTTGGAGGTGGAGAGCATCCGTCGAGCCAAGGTCCGCTCGGGGATATTTTTGCGGGCGCTGGAGAAGTATCGCCGCTACCGAGATCAGTGCCGAGAGTTGCGCGTGCGCTTGAGGAATGATCCCCGTAGCCGGGCCTTGGCTCGACGGAGCAGCTCCGCCGGAAGGATGAGGAGCTCGAGGCGGTAAAGAGGGCCGCAGCTGAGTGTGAGCGCCAGGGCCAGGCTAAGGCGGCGGAGGCCGCTGCAGCATGGGGCGGGAAAGTGACTGCGTTGGAGGGTGAAGTCGCGGTATTGAAGCTTCAGGTGAGGGATGCCTCGTCGAGGGCTGGGGAGCTGACGGAAGCTATCCGCGTACACGAGTCCCAACGGGCGTTGGAGAGGGATGCTGCGGCATTTAGAGAAGCGAGTCTCGAGGAGCGGATCGGTGTCTTTGAGCAGGACGCTCATGCCATGGCGGACCGGATCGCAGCCTTAGAAGAAGAAAATCAGCGCCTACGGGATCAAGCCGCTTCTTCCAGCCAGGCTCGAGAACTTTGGGTCTTTACCGAGGCCCAACGCGATGTATATGAGAATTTGTGGGAGGCCGGCGTCGTAACCGAAGCTGCTTTCGAGGGGGCGCGTCAAAAGGCTCGTGAGGCCCGTGCCGATTGTGGTTTTGACGTGGCGACGCCAGAGGCTGACGCTGGTACAGATGGTGGCGCAGATGGCGCCGAGTAAAAAGATGTTATGCATTTTTTCTTCTCTTTTTCTCTTTCCTTGTATTGATCGGCCTTGGCCGGGTGTAAGCGGGGATGACCCGCAATTAATTTCGTGGATAAATGAGATCTCTGTTCCGTTATTTGCTTTGTATCTGTTTTGTACCCCCTCAATTTCCCCTTTAGATTTTTCTTTGCATGCGCTCGAAGGGGTGATTTGCCTTCGAGTTCGACTCTGGTAGGCATATTAGTTTTTAATTGCTAACGACTTTTCTTCTTCGACTCGGGGTGAGCGACTCGGAGCCGTTGCTTGGCGATAGTGGCACTTAGCCTTAGTCCCAGTTCGGGCGCAGTCGAACTGTCGGCCGTGATGACAGAAACGCGGCCTTGTAGTTTGACCGGGGCCGGACTTTACGTGTCCCCAATCTAGTTTGAGTTGGGAGTACTTA